TAAACTATGTTGTTAATTTGAAAAAAAAAAAAAATAGTGACTTCCCGTGAGCGCCACGGTGAGCTAGATGCCCTGCGGCAGTGACAGAGATCGCGGCTGGATGTGGGATCTGGACCAGCATAACCTCTCCAGAGAAAGGAGAGACAGAGAGATAACCCACAAGCACTCTGGGCAGCTGCTCCTCATGAGTAGACCTCAGGAACTATGGTTTTGCAGTCAGCTTGAGTTGAGTGGCTGGGCATTGCGGGAATGGGGTGTGCCTGCCATTCTAATTCTAATGGCAGGCATGTCCCATCCTCGTAATGCTTTGGAAGACCTCAGAATCTTTCCAAAGGTTTTCAGAGCAGCGCTTGAATGGGGCATGCAATTTGGAGAAGTGTGAGCAGCCTCGAGAAGAAAGGGTGGTGCAGCCAGCAGCTGGCTTGCATAAGGCAGGCCAGGTGCGCCTTGTTAGCAGTGGGGGAGAACGGTGAACATCACCTGGGTGTGGCAGGGTCTGCGGAGCACAGGGTGGTGGGGCTGCCGGGGCTTTGTGCTGTGGTGTAGGGCTTGAGGTGGCACCCCTCAGCAGCAGTGCTGGTTGTGCTGGGGTTGAAGTAGTGGTGGTGGCAGCTAAAACTTCTGAAGGCCCCGGGCCTCTACTTCAGTCCCCGTGCTGCTGCCACCACCACCAAGAAATGGACACCCAAAAGGACAGAGATGGGGGGAAAGATGCAGGGGTGGGGAGTTGAAACACTCCTGCAGTCATAAGTGTGGGCGGGCTGCCAAGTGCCTGAATTTTGATCATGTGACTGCAGAGGCACTGCAATGGCCATAACTTTGGATGCCAGTCATAAGACCCTTTGTTCAGCACTGTTGTAACTTCAAACAGTCACTGAACGGATGGTCATAAGTCAAGGACTACCTGTAATAGTATAGCCAAATAAAGTGGATTTGGGGGCGTTTCCATGATTTGTTATTTTTCTTCTTATTTTCTAGGCATGTTACAAGGCTAGAGCAAGGCTTATACAGCTTTTATTTCCCACAAAAATGGTGGAAAATCTCTAGGCAAATTGGCAGTATAATCTCACAGAGATTTCTCAGGAGCAGAAAAAGGATTCAGAGCCTAGTTGTGACTCATAAGACACAGGTTTCCTACTCCTTGTCTAAATAAAACCAGAATATGAAGATTCTGTATGGAAGGAAAGAATTTCCTTGTGTAATGAGGTGATTAAAGAAACCTATATTCTTGAAGGAAAGACAATTCAAAAATTCATCTGGTTCAGTATTTTCTAGACATAAAAGAAATCAAAGTCTTTTGGCTTAAGAACATCAACTATAACTTTGAAGTTAAACAGTGGGAAATAAAAATAACTGCCAAAATTGGACTGCAACTTGGGTCAAGAACAGCAATTGTAACAATCCTGAATTACTGAAACATGATCTCTCCTTTCATCTGAGCAACAGAACCACCTGTTTTAGGCTTTTTTTTTTTTAATTAACAGGAGACAACCACAAATTGCCCTGGCTAGAGGAATGGACTGATATTCTTCCTGATGGAATATAACAGAGAGCATATTGTAATGATCTTGGAAGCAAGATCTATTCCAAAGAACATACCTTTAAGCTATTAAAACATAAACAAGTTGTTTCAGATGATTCTATGGAAGAATTTATTTGCACTGCCTTTTGCATCTCTTCCAGCAATAAACATTTTTAATGCCACAGTATGAAAGTCTAATACATTATAGCCCTCTCTGAAGTAAATTGACCAATAACTATGAGACAGCATAATATCATACATATCTAGAAAGCTCTTTACTAAATTGTAGAAAACATTTAAATGCATACAAATGTTAGTTCCCAGCCTCTTTATTCAGAGTTGAAAGCAAAGACAATTGCAATGTAAAAAAGCATGTTCCCAGGGACATTTTCTTTTTGCTATTTAAAATAATTTTAAATTATCTTATATCTAGCATTGTGCAAGAAATGAAAAACACATTTGCTATGGAATGCAGAACAAATCAGCCCCCTCAAAATATTCCTCCAACCTTTGCTGCTATTTTCCTATGGAGCAAAAAAATAGCTCAACTTTTCCATGTTCCAATGAAACAAAATTCAAAACATTTTGAGCTCTGGTCAGAGAACTCAGTGAGAACTTGGAAAAAACACCTTGCATTTTTATGTTTCAGCTTCAAAGGACAAGAAAAGGTGAGGTGATAGTTCCTACTGACTTCTGTCAGCCATTCAAGTAACAGAAAAATTGACCAATGGATTTTTAAAAATTATTTTTAAACATTAAAATATAAAGCATTTTAAAATATAAAATATAAAATATAAATTAAAACATAAAGCATTGGAAACAGCACTTGAAACTAGTTAGTTAGAAATGGTATCAGAATCCAGAATTCCCTGGATACTCCATACAGAGTCTTTTCAATTGTTTAAATCAGTGTTCCTCAACCTTGGCAACGTTAAGATGTGTAGACTTCAACTCCCAGAATTCCCCAGCCAGCATGGGGAATTGCTGGCTGGGGAATTCTAGGAGTTGAACTCCACACATCTTAAAGTTGCTAAGGTTGAGAAGCACTGGTGTGCTCAGAGTCAGGCTCTTCAGCTTGACAGGAAAAACTACCAGACCAGCTAGATGAGAATTTTTAGTACATGATAGGATGAAGCTAGATGATTGTCCTGTCAATATGAGAGCACAGTTCCTTCTTACATCCTCTGTGATTTAAATCTCAAGCTTCTTTTTCCTGCCTTTCCCATGTTTAACAGATATCCTGCTTTTATGTTTCTCAGGCTGGGCTGCTGACATAACTGACATAACTGCTCTGGGAAACTCTAACTCTCTATTTGATTCCCACATTCAGCCAGCACATTAACAAGACAAAAGAACTAATGCCATCACTGTTGTATTTTTTTCCCAAACCAAAAGATGCTGCTAACTGAGAAAATAAACATACCAGTCAGCCAGCCACTCTCCCATTCCCATAGTTTTAATCTTGAGGCAGTCATTGCAAGTGCTCTGAGCTCAGAACAAACTTGGCAGTTCCAAACATATCACTTCAAGTTCCCTTGTTCTTGTTTTATGACTTTTTTGTGGGTTGCTTTTTTTCCCCAACCTTTTCCAGCCTAACCAATCCAGCTATAGATCACTCATGTTGACATTGTATAAATGCAAATGCTACTAATACAGAGTTTTTGCTTGGTTAGTTGAGCTTTGTGGGGAGGTATATGCATACTTTTACATCCTGTTATTGACCGGCTGGGCTTGGACTGGTTTGCTGGGTTTTGGGGTGTGCACTCTGAGCATGTTCTTGTAACTCATTGATGAGTTACCAGAATGTTTCTAAAATTGCTAAGCCTCTGTGATGGTTTGTGACTTTGTTGCTGAGCTTTGTGCATGATTGCTTTTTGCCTTACATTTAGGTGGCCTGTGTCTGCCTGATTCATGCTTTCTCACTTGTGCTGAAAGTCAAATCAGAGTTGTATCGGCAGATGTATATCCAGTTTGCTGATAGTTATCAAAACCTGGCTTTACATTTTCTGTTCAAATACTATGAATTGTCTGCAAATCCTTGAAGTTGTCTAAAGAGCTGGCCGAAGGAAAACGGGAGAAAAGAAATTTGGTGTTTGCAGACAATCTGTGGGTTGCATGCAGCTTAATGCAAAAACAAAGAAACTAATAAAATGTTACATCTCAGCCATTATTCTTTTCACAAAGTACATTCATATAAAACACCATACCATCCAACAATTCATATTGATTTTATAGCACACAATTTAACATTCTGTCATGATAAAATATTTGGGCAGGCAAATGTTAAAGATACTTCTTGACCAGGTTTTTATCACAAGGTTTTTATGCCTCTTTCACAGGACTTCAGAAGAGCATTTCAGATTGTCTTGCATTTGGACATCTCTATATTTTTCTATGGCTTTATCCATTCTTTTTTCCTTTCCAGGAAGAAGGGAGGGAGGGAGGGAGGGAGGGAGGGAAGGCTGCAGAGTGTATTTAATAACACCATAAGCTCTCTGTTGAGAAGTGCCCCTTATCCTGAATTCAACAGTAAATCTGGCTCTGTAAACTACAGGTATCTCTGTGTGTATACAGAACATCACATACACATTGAACCCAAAACTTGGCAGATCAGAATGCTATTTGTAAAGGGTGGATCCAGTTAAAATTAGGAGACATTCTGATGATACTGGGTAATTTCCAAGTTCAGGTTCATAGACCAAATGATCATATGCACCTACTGATAGTTCAAGGACAGCAGGAGCATGTGTTATGTTATGAAACAGTGAGAAATTAAAAAGTAACTCATCAGTCCAGCTTTAAACAAAAACAATGAGCCAGTGAAAGAGTCGACTGAATTATTTTGGATGTATTTGTTGTAAAAAGGAAAACTTCTTATGTGAAATTAAATTAAAACTGAGCTTATGTTAAAAGGAGAAAAAGAGATCATATTTGATATAGAGGAGACAGCCAGATTATTTTGACATTGACAGTAAATCCTTTGTGGTCTGTTGTCTTCCTGTTTTTCCAACCCACAACAGAACAAGGCATGTAAATAAAACTGAAACTGTTATTTTCTTCCCACTATTGAGTAGTGTCAACAAAGAATAACAGCTGTATTGATCCTTTGATACTAATGAACCTAAATGATGAAACTGGAGAAAAATGGTGTCAGCTAGACCTTGTACAGAACATAATCTGGCATCCCCCATGTTTATGGACCTTCAGTGGAAGAATCAGAGTAGAAAGACTTAATCCTAGACTGAACGCTTGAAAGCCACAATGGCACCAGAACATTTACGTGACTGTTGTATGATCATGACTACTTTCAAAAGGAATAAACAAAACACAAAGACATGGTCTTTTAGGCCAGATTTTTCATATTTACAGGGAAGCAACAATGATCTATTTATGAGGCTAGACTATTTAAGAAAAACTTTATTAAGGTTTGGGTTACAAAATGGAAAATACTCACTGTAAACAATAAATGATAGTTACTGATCTGTCTTCGTACAGATACGGGGAAATAATAACCATTACTTACTCTAGAAAAAATCAACAGGTAGAACTTCAATTTGATTTGGTGGATTTTTAAAAATTCTAGCTAAATGTGTTTGTAACTAGTACTGCTGGTACTGCTTTTCTCTATCCTAGGAATATGTCATTGACATTTTTCTTTCCTATTAAATTTCTGGTCTGGTAAGATGAATTGATGAAATTTTTCAACATTTAATTTAATTCATTTCAATCTATTAAATTCTCAGTAAAGGAGAATTTACTTTACCTTGCCATAAAAATCACTCATCTGGTATAATGGGATATGCTGGGTTCCACCATACATTTCAATAACCTCTTCATCAGGCACTGGGTTTAGCCCCCTAAAACAAGTTACAAGAATTCAGTCAGGTAGATATTAAAACGTAGTAGACACCTATATTATCTAAAATCTTGATTTTTTTTTTTTTGCTTTTTAAGAGAGTTGTATTATCAGAGTCAAAACAATCTCAAAAGAAGGCAATGGCAAATCATATATGCAGTACTGCCAAGAAAACAGCCTGTTCATGAAGTCACAAGATGTTGAGTGAGTTTGACTCAAAGGAGAATTTACCTTCATGTGCAGTGGATTTGAAGAAAAATTGTGCAAGTGAATTGATATAACTTGGCTCTTATCAAGATATTAATGAAGGCTGATAGCAATCTTTTTGCTTAAGATTCAGTACTATCCCACTAACCTATGTCACTTTCTAATATTATCAATTAAAGAAGCAGTACAATTTTTATTTCATCTTATTCAAATTGAACTCAGAAACTCAAGGTATCTGAAGCAAAGCACACAGCCAATGTAGAGAGTCAGAGAATTTAAATATTCCATAATTTTAACAAAAGTTGCCTATACAAGAAATGTCTCCAAAATATATAAAGAAATATATAAAATAAGGTTATAGGATAAAAGAAGGATTATAATCTTTCTCTACTGAGACAAATTCTGACCAAAGCAGAAAAGCAGATTAATAGGGCAACATTTAGTTGAGGGAGGAGAAGGAGACCGTTACTGAAACTCAGTTGCATTAGCAAACACTGCTTCCTTAGATCATGACTTTCTATTTCTCCCTTGTTCAAAGATAGTCTAGATCAGTGTTTCTTAAACTTTTTTCTCTCAGGACCCTTTCTCACTCTTAAAAATTATGAAGGACCTCAAAAGAGCTTTTGTTTATATAATCAATATTTACCATATTAAAAATTAAAATGGACTCATTTGCTGCCACTACTGCTTCTCACATTGTTTGATGGGATTATAATACTGTATTATTTTTCAATATAGGCTGACAAGTAATTTTGATTTCGTGGACCTCTGAGAGGGTCTTGGGGAACCCCCAAGAGTCCTAGGACCACACTTTAAGAAACACTAGTCTAGATGTTACCTTATCAGTCTCCTACTTCTATGGGCTTTATATTTAACCATAATATTATTTGTAACATTTCAAAAGTAAAAGCTAACATTGATTGCAATGCTATAAGCAGACTTACTTTTACAAATTCTTCCCCAACCCACAGCAACATTTTAAAAATAAAGTAACGTTCACTTTAAAGCTCTTAAAGCACAATGGTCTATACCAGTGTTTTTCAACCTCGGGAACTTTAAGATGTGTGGACTTCAACTCCCAGAATGCTGGGAGTTGGCTGGCTGGGGAATTCTGGGAGTTGAAATCCACACATCTTAAAGTTCCCAAGGTTGAGAAACACTGGTCTATACTTTTGATAGAACTCTTGACTGACTGATTTGACTTTTTTAAAGTAGAGAGCAAGGTTGCTGCAGTGGTTTAAGGTTCTAGCTCTCCCTTAAGCATGGAGGTTGGCTGGGCAACTCCAGGCCTGTCACTCTCTCTCAGCCTTAGACTGAGAAATCAAAATGTACTTAAAAGAAGGTACTGGCAAACTACTTCTGAAAAAGGTTGCCAAGAAAACTGCACAGCTTGTACTTGTAGTCACCAGGAGTCACATTTGACTCAGAGAATCAAAAACAAAAACATATTTTATTTCCCATACAAGTTTAGTTACAGATATGGTAGCTATTAATCTCCTAATATTTATAGCTAAGCGTGTTCTGATATGCCTGAAATATTAGTCTTAGAACCTTCAATTTGGGATAGTACAATTTCTTGTGCAGCTGATTTCAGAGAGACTTGCCAGGGCATTCAGACTTTAGCAACTCAGACATTTCTCTGGTGCACGCAGGCTATCTTGTGTCATCACCCATGACCCATATTTGCTTTTGATTTCTATGTTAAATGTTGCATAAAAACAACTGTTTCTATAAAGGTCAACAGGTCCAGAAAGTGTATATAATTTTGCTAAACTCACTGATAGGCAGTACCCAATTGGACATAGTGGAAAGCATCAATCTTCATTAGAAGGCTCTAAAAGAAAGGTAGACATTTATTGTGTAAATATTTCATACTTTTACCTTGATTGAAGAACTTAACATTACAAAAAGACAGTCCTAACAAAACTATTCTTCAGAAAGGCATGCATTTAAAGCTACATTTGCAGAGCATTATCCATGAGTTAGACCCATTTAATAAATTAGGATTACTATTACTAAATTATTCCGTTTGCACAAAAACAGGGATAACAGATGGTGCAAATAAAAACACCGCAGATGCATAAATGCCAAACCAGAGCATTTGCTTGGACAACACAGAGAACCAAACTTTCTATTGTTTTTTTTCCTAGAACTGTGTGATATGACTATTAATCAGACTTCTAGTTCTCTCACATTTAGAGGACAGAGCATATACTTTGCAGAAAAGAAAAGCTCAAGAAAAATGGAATCTATAGTTAGAAGGATTAGATAGCTAATGATGCAAAAAGGGCTCTGCCCATTGTACCTTATAACATCCTTATTTCATAGTTTCTTTCCTTTTGAAAGAATTTGCTCATCTTACCTACACATCAATACAAATACGATGTGTAATGTAAAATTACAAACTTTGTGTGGCACTGTGTCAGGATACAGCAACCATAGATCCAACATGCTTAAATATCCTCCTTGATGCCCACCAAGGCCTCCTGCAGTCCCTGATTATATATATATAAATAAAGTATCTCCAATAACTGGAAAGCAGCAGAGTTTCAAATTCCATTGCCTTTTCCCCTCCTTTTGTCCTTGCATCTGAGCCCCACAAGTACAGAGAACAGGAAGGGTGAAGATCCTCTGAAGGCCAAAGCTCTGCTAACTCCTAGCCAGCTAAAATGGATAAAAGAGAGAAAAAGAAAAAGAGATGCTGCTTGTGGTATTATGCAAAATATTCAAAAGGGGTGCTTCAGAACATGTGGGAGCACATACAGAAGTCCTTCTTTTTCAATTATTTAAGCAGCTATGATGTTTGCAAGACTCCTAGCCATATGTTTGCAGTGACAGCAGAGAGCAGCTTCTGAAGCAGATGCATTAGCTCTGTGAATGATGCAGCTGCTTTAATGATTTGAAAACAGGCACTTTGTACATCCTCTTTTGAATGCTTTGCATAGCTCTGTTTCTCTAGGCCAGTGTTTCTTAACCTCAGCACGTTTAAGATGTGTGGACTTCAACTCTCAGAATTCTACAGCCAGCCAGAATTCTGGGAGCTGAAGTCCATATATCTTAAATTTGCTGAGGTTGAGAAACACTGCTCTAGACATTGGTCTCATTTGATCATTTAGAGACCTATGACTGGAAAAGCCAATGAAGGTGAAGGGGAGAAAGAAAATGTTGGGGAAACCTGGCAAGGAGATTGGAAAGCCAATCAAATCAGGAGGAAGAGGATTTGTGGGAAAGATGATGGGATGTGTATCTTGGTATACAAAACATTTACTATGTGTAATTGAAGTGTTAGGAAGGAATGTCTTGGGGGAAAGAGTGAAATAATGAAAAAGAGAGAAGTAGGCACGCTGGTGTGTTTTGTGGTGTATGATTCTTAAGTGATAATCAAAAGTTATAATCTCCCCATACAGGATAAATAAATGTGAAAGAAAGCAAAGTAAGACAGTCTCTTAAAATGTAGATGTAATGTAGGGCAGTTTCCTTGTATTTCTTTGAAATAAGTATGTTGTTATAGCAGAAAACTTTGGTTCATAGGAGGGTATTTATTTTGAGATGAAGTGTTTTAGTGCACTGAGTATGCCCTATGGCAACCATTTTGCTACTCCTCTCACCAAAATATGTCAGTGATAAAAAGATAGAAACCCTATTTTTTTGTTGTTTATGTCTGTGCAGACAGTCATACAGTACATCTCTTTCCACTGATCTGAAGAAAGAAAGGAACACAAGCGATCTTGTTCAGATAGAAGTACCACATTCCTATTATTTCTGCAGAGATAGGCCACCTTTCTAGCTCATGGACATGCAATCTTGAATAATTTCAGTGATCAGTGTTTATTTCTGTAGTCTGATGAATTGGGATTCTGGCAGGTGTTGCACTGACATCTCCTATTTTAGATATCCGAAAGAGAAAGTTAGATTCGTTTTTTCACAGAAATGCCCTGCTGTAAATTTCTGTATCTTTTTATTGTCTGAACAGTTGCCACATGAGAACATTTTATTCATTTACCATAAACTGTTGTGGCAATGTCTCCTTCCCAGATCAATTGCAGTGTTTACATTAAATCTTCAGCTCACTACATCCCTATCCTGCTTCTAACTTCCAGGAAAATATTTTTAAAATGGTGCACAGTCAACAAAGACTGAGGATTGGGTAAAGTGCTGCAATTATTCCCTACTGGAGACAAAAATAATGCTTGCAGAGGGAAAAATAAGATGACATAATCCATAACATGGTTTACAGAAATCATTGCAATTGCGCAGGCATAATGCTAAAAAAAGAATTTCCTAGTACATTTCCCGTGTTTTTCAAGCCACTTTGGGCCTTTTTAGCATCAAGTTCCTCTTTCTTTTCTTTTTTCAAAAAACACATACCAAACGTAGCTCCTAAATTTAGAAAACCCTAAGACATGAACAAGAATATTGAAGATTCCACCAGAAGCTTTAATTATTTAGTATTAGCTGATTTTTAGATTGTCATACTATGTAACTAGAGAGAAAGAAGTCCTTTACAGGTAGTCCTCAGGTTACGACCGCTCATTCAGAGACTGTTGAAAGTTATGATGGCACTGAACAAGGGGGACTTATGACTGATCCGTGAAGTTGCGGCCGTCACAGAGTCCCTGTGGTCACATAATGGCTATCTGAGCGCCTGGTGCCTGGTTCACAATTAGGATGTGGCAGTGAGCTGCGGTCACATGATCATGACTTCAAATGTTCCCTGCTGGATTCTCACAAGCAAGTCAATGGGGAAGCCAGCAGGAGGTTGCAAGTTGCTCCTGCCGCTTTTTTGCCCACCTGTGCTACCTAGCGCCCACCCACAGCACCCGCCCCTCTGCTTGCGTTCCCTAGCACCCGTCTGCCCATAGCTATCACCCGCTGGCCTGCCTGCCTGGGACTCCTGTCTCTTATGTTGCAGTCACATGTGATCCTCACTTAACAACCTGCGTGGTCCTGGGGTTACAACGGCAGCTGGGACTGCTGTCACTGAGTGATGCAGTCACATGATATTGTGCTTTACGACTGCATTATTTAGTGATGGAAATTCCAGTCCCAATTGCTGTTGTAACCCAAGAACTACTGTATTTCCCGTGTATATATATAATATGCAAACACACATGCATACGAACACCATTATTAATTCTATTCATTTTTCCAAGAGTGGCCATAACTTAACAAACTAACCAGATACTTAAATGTTTCCATTTCACACACTCACCCAAATAATGTTACTGAATATTATGAAAGAACACTTGAATACAGACTGGCTATATAACTCACCTTGTGCACATCATAGTGAAGTCCTCTTATGGCAAAACCAGGAATGTATTCATATTTCCTGAGTCCCTCTGGGTACTACAAAACATTTCATTAGAAAGAATGAGTATATTCTCCCAAACTGGGATACATACTACACTTTGCTTATTTACAGACTGGTAGAAATCTAGAAGACAAGCAAACTCTATGGTGGTGGATATACTGAATATAGTTTTAGAATGGGATTATGATCAGCCATGAAACTCACTGGACAACTGCAGGGGAAGAAGTGAGGAAAAACTGGTCTTTTCAGCAGGCTGTTTGCATATTATATGCAAATACAAGCTGTTTCCTCTTGTAATTTGAGGGGTGACCCTACCTCTGACTCTAAATTGTGTATATATTATATTGTTTGTCATAGATATTGTATACTATAATCTTATTTATGAAAATAGGGTATTTAAGCCATTCAGAATTGGAACTGATTGGAAAGGCATATAAACTCTGTAAACAGATAAACAAAATAAATAATTTAAAAAGCCATATAGGGGCTGGGCAAGGGATTGAGAAAAGAGTCTTTAGTTCCATTAACAGGTGAAAAAAGAATTAGGGGAAAGTTTGTTGCTTTATGCCATTCTCACCAGCATAAGTTATAATACCATAACTTAGTAGAACGTGGAAACTAACAATTTTAAAAAGTCAGAATCTAAAAACACAAACGAGTCATGAAATGTAGAGGAAGAAATATGTACTTGTCTTAAAATCATTTCCACACTGTACTGCCCCAATCTATTATAGATCAAGCATCACACAAGAATAGTTGATGAAAATTGCAAACATACCTTATACTGTTCAATTAGGATATCTCTGGCAGTGTTGAATATCATTGAATGTAGTAAGTTTGAATACTGTGCTAACGTATAATCATAATCAAAGCCATAGATCTCAACATCTCTCAAGCTGATCTCATTATTTGCATAGATAGCTGCTGGGTTAAGAAGATTGCAAACTCCTGGTGGAAGGAGATCTGGAACAAGGCAATAAAAATACAAAAAATTTGATCCAAGACTGTGCAGAACAGGAATACTGTTCATGTATAAAAAAAAGTGGGCTGGGGTGGGATGGGGGGAAAGTGTTCCTTTTTTATTTTAACTGAATATTGAAGACTATCAAAACTTACTTTCAAAACTGTGCAAAAGATAAACATTTTAACCAATTCAAGCGTTTTGATTTTCATTACCAAAAAGAATAACTAAAACAAGGAAAGATTTTTACTGTACACCCAGATTGGCTAGAATCCTGCGTGTTCCCACTGGCAGGAGCAGAATTCTACTCATAGGTGGCGGTGGCTGCTGCTGTCACCATATTTTCCTCCTTCCTCCACTCCTGGCCTCCAGAACTATTCCAGAGGAACTGGAGAAACTTCAGAACAGTTTGGGGAATTGCAGTGGGGGGATGGAATCTAACCTGATTGAGCTTGAGAGGATTTGCAAAGAAGAATGGCAGAAAATCCCCCAATCCAGG